AAATTTGCTTCATTACGTGTTGATTTATTATTGTTTAAAAATAATAAAACCTCACAAAATAGGAAAGCAACTAGACTAACAGTGACCTTCTAATGACAAAAAGTCTTACTTCTGAACCAAAACCGAAATCATGCAGGGCCGAATTTTAATTCTGAGTATGAGTGCGCTACGTTAATTTCCGTTATTCTGAAACAACAATTAGTAGAGAATTAATAAAGCAAATTTCAAATTTTTTTACACGGTTGAATCGAGAATAAAACCCTATTTCAAATGAGCTATCACTCACCACCCCATGCCATTTAAATTTTTCGAAAGGGTTGCTCCCCTCCAGTAAGGGTAAACTATTCATACAAAAATGTACATTGCAGAAATCAAAAATCGACCTGTCTAGGCGATTTTCCTAACAAGACTCCAGTAACGAGTTAGATAGGGGGGGTAAGACTTATGGTGCTCACTGTATAATAACTTAACATACGAGGTGCATGAGTTACCATTTAAACTAAAAAGTAATAATTAAAATGGGATTAGAGATTTAAATAAATGATCAAATTATAATTAGTATAGACGTGAAGAGGAGAAAGTGGAATCCCCAAGAATATAGTATTGCCCAATTAGGAGTCGGTGGTCTACCCAAATTAAAGTGGACAAAGAAGGTGGCAGGTTTCCAATTAAACCTAAGATGCTGTTGATTTGGCGAAGGCGGAATTTTAGAAGTGGAGTAATCAGAGTGACATTACAAAATGTGAAGGAAGGCATTACCAGTAGCATCTTGAACAGCGTAATTGGTAAATTTATTCAGGAAGCTGGCAAGCGTTAAACTCCAAAGTAATCTCCCAACTTTGAGGAAAAAAAGATTGTAATTGAAGAGGTAGGATTTAAGAGTTAGGAGGCAAATCCAAACTCTTCACACAAAGGTTCTGCAAGAAGTCAATGGTAACACCCTTGTACAGGAAACAATTTGTGGTCGAGATAGCAATCCAATAAAGTTGAGCAGTGTGAGAGTTACACGTCGTAAAATCTAAAGAAAGCACTTAACTCTTGCGGCACCAAATGAAGAGACACGCGATATTAACATAAAATGGAGGTTTCATTAACATGTACCAAGTGCGCATGTCAGTTTTATTTTGAATAATATTTTGAACACTAGAGCAAAAAATGACAATTAGATAATTCGATATTATCTTTACAATATGGTTCAAAAACAGAAATAAATAAACAAGCAAAACTATAAGAGACGAGGCAGTCTAAGTGGATATTACTTTTCCAAATCAATACTCAATTCCTGATTAAACTTACTATCCATTAAAAAAGAGAAGAATCATAAAGGGTAGCTGAATAATGATAAGTACTAAGTGCGCTAAAGTCAAATTTAAAATGATTAAGTGAGGTTAATTAATTATGAATTGACAACTATGGATATAATAAACAAATCGAATTGTTAAAAGTTTAAATTTAGAAAAAATGTAATTTTCGAAGAGTTGTAATTGTTCATTAACACAATTAACGTTATTAATGATCATTGTTTTAATAATTTCAGCAAATTCTAGTAGATCCATTCTTACTTATATCGAAATCATGTTTTCTGTTCATAGATAATTAACAAACGAAGATTGTGTGTTGGAAATATCTGTATTTTTAAACTTTTTAAAGAGTCTACTGTGTTCACTGACTCGATCAATTATTCTACGGCCACTTTGGCCGACATAAGCAGTGTTACAAGTAAAACAACTTATTTTGTAGATGCTGGATTTAAGCATATGTGAATTTATATTCTTTGTGTTAATAAGAATAATGGATAATTTATTAATAATTTTAAAGGCTATTTTAATATCATATTTTTTATAAATGTTGAAAATTTTATATGAGGAGGGTGAATAAAAATTCAAGGAGCCAGCATAAAAAAGTATAAAGTATATTTTCATAATGAACTTTTATTAATAGCAAGTTGCTTAATTAAATTAATTTTATTATTATAGAAATGTTGAAACAGAGGTAATGCAAAAGCTCTGTAAAAATAACTAATAAAGGCTGATAATTTATGTGAAATAGGATGGTTGAAGAGATAAATAATCCAACCATCTGTTGTGGTAGGTTTACGATAAATGTGAAATTCTAGTTTAGCGGTGGCAATATTTGTTTTAGTAAGTAAATCTACAAAGGGGATACTCCCGTTTCTTTCAAATTTGTAGTGAATTTTTTGCGTGGGTGATTGGTATTAACATAGTTCAGAAATTCAATCGCTTCAGACAACATATCTTTAAAAAGTATAATACAATCATCTACATAACGGTGATAGAAAATATTATTCTCTTTAAAGGTTGGAGATAATAAATATACATTCTCAAGATTATTCATAAATATTTTTATAATACTCAATGTAGCGCGCCTCTCATCCTCAAGCAGAAAAAATCTGCGTTCATTATACACGCGAAAAGTAGTGCATTCGCAACACCCCTTAACGTACTCGACCCCGGATTTATCGGCCCGCGACATTAAAAAACACTACGTGAATTCTCTACATCGAGTGAGTGTGAGTTTCCCGCCTTAGTGCGTATATGTCGGCAAATCATTGTAAAAAGTGCTAGTTTGTAAGCAGGAAGCCTACCCACAGGTGCAGGGTCTGCAACAGGACCTTTTTTCTTCCCCCTTTTTTTTTTCTCTTTATTGAATTGTAAAATATAACATAGGTAAATCGATTGATTTCAATACCGGCATGTTTTTGGCAGTGTTGCCACTTGTCACTAAAATTGTTACTAACCCAAATTTCTTGTACAACGTTTGCTTTTCTGACAAATGCAGTTTTTCACTTAATGGAGAGGTTAAACGGCATAACTGTAGAAGTTGGAGCGATACAAATCCTCATAGCTCACACTCAATATCCGGAAAAGCTAAACGTTTGGGTAGGAAATTTGGGAGACCACCTAATTGGACCTTTGTTTATTCCTGGTAATTTAAATGGCGAAATTTATCTTGAAATGCAGGAATATGCGATTGATCCGTTAATAAGAGAAAAATTAGAAAACGATCTACTAATTGAACAACAATTGCATTTCCAACAAGACGAAGCTCCTCCTCACTTCGCCGCACCAGTTCGCCAATACCTCAATTTACAATACCCTGGTCGTAGGATTGGAAGAAGATGTCCTATGAAGTGGCCTGCTCGCTCTCCTGACCTGAACTTTATGGACTTTATTTTTCATAGGCCTCGTATAACAACAAGGTATTTTAATCTGCCTCAAAAGTAGAAATCGAGACAGATTAAATTCGGTGACCTGCAGCAAAATTTTGCTTAATTAGAATTGAAAATAGTATCATCAAAAACTTTACCACTGGACATTTACTATAGACCATAGTTACCTCGGAAGCCACTGAAATAGGCTACCTCTTCCAGTCCACCTATTAGGAAATATATCCCATTCTTACTTTATATGAAATACCACAAATTTCACAATCTTGCTCTACACCTAATTTAGAAAAGTTTAAATTATTTATACAATCGTTAACTAAAATGAAGTGAAATTACTAAAAAAATCCTTAAAACCTATTTCGGCCAAACAAATAAAAAACGTTGAATATACCGGATATACCATTAACCAAATAAGTTTTTGGACAGCGGCGTAAAATTAAGAGGGGATAAAGGTGTTACTTATCCATGACGTACGCCACTGGCAAAGTTTATTTATAATAGTAATATTTACTATTTAATTACCTAAAACTAGTATTTATATTTGTGTACATTAACAAAAATCCTAAATTGAAATATATAAGGATAGTATTTTATCAAAATTTTCATATTTATGAAAAAAAAAAAGTAAATATCAACATCTTAAAGAGGTGGTTTTCTGAAAAGAACCTAACTACAAAATATACGAGTATGTTGCTCTAGATTGATATAATATTATTAAAACACATGTATTCTATTTATTATTTTCTTGTATGAAAAATAAGCCTGACAGATACAGACGGATTGAGTCAATAATAAATATAAACAACTCTTATTTAATTTCGTGCTATCGCTATGTACCGCGATAAGGATTTTTTTTTCAGTGCAATAAATTTCTAAATTTTCATTCGTAGTGGCCGAAACACGACCGAAACAGAGTAGAAAATCGTGATAAATTTAAACATTATACACATTTCTCAATATAGGATATACCAGTGTCGTTGATTTTTTAAAACGGTGCTATAAATTAAAAAGGGGAGATTTCGATGAATTATAGCCGAGGGAAACAGGTTCTAATAAAAGTTTCTATTGGATATAAAATTGGGTAACAGAATGTTTTCCTTTGCATCTGTAGGTACGTTCTATTTTAAAATATACCTAACTTTGGCGAATTAAAAAAACTTTAAAAAAATATCTATTTTTGTAAAAATACATTTATATACTTTTACTCCAATAAATATATGTTTCCCAGAGTCCAAAATTATATTTATTAGATTTCTAATTATTTCAATTGAATGTTGTTTATAAAAAAAAATAAAAAAAATTAAAATTGTCGTTCATGATAGTCAAGTATTTACACCAAAAAACGTCATGACAACTGTGTTTCTTTGTATTAATTTAAGCAGAAGAAAATTGCTTTATTTCTGGATATATGGCAAATTATGTAAACTATTTATTTTTAAAATTCAATAGTATTTGTGCTATTAAAGAAAATGAAATAAAATTCAATAATTTTATTTTCTTTTTAAAATTTATATAGGTACATAAAAAACAAAACATATAACGAGCTTTAAAACAAAACCAATTCAAAAATAAAATTAATAATTGATTGTAACTTGAAATATCGTGGATATCAGTCGATGGAAAAACTCCCTATGTAGTACCACAGGCGTCATTTTCAAAGTCAGGGATGCAGCAAAGAATTTATAACATCAAATCTACTTAATGTAAAATTCATATTTGTTTTAAATTATAAACTATTTATTAACATCTAAGAAAAATCAACTAATTTTTCTGAAAATTTATGGCATTAACAAGAATCTGTTTTTTGTTTCAGATGTCTTATGTTTAAGAAACGTACGACTGACAATCGAACCCAACATAGTGCAGCGCGGGAGCAATTCAACCCTCCACTGTTCCTACGATTTGGAAAACGACGATGTTTTGTATTCAGTTAAGTGGTACAGAGGACGTTACGAGTTCTACAGATACATCCCCAGCGAATTGCCTATTATAAAGACATTCCCGTTCAAAGGTATAAATGTCGATGTAAGTTTTCCCAATGGTGCGATTAAAAGGGTTGCTACGGAAATACTTGAGTCGATGTTATTATTAAGTTACAAAGTTCATATTTTTGTAATGTACAGGGAGCAGTAAAATTTAATTAAATGGAAGCTTGCACAAACTATGTTAACATGATGAATGATTTTAATTATCTAGAAAACGAATCAATATATTTTAGACAAATTGGGGAATATATAGCTAGATATATGTGTTCTTTGAATGTAGGAGGCGACTATACCAAAAGCTTCTGGATGTGTTATAAATTATTGTGATACATATTAGGGTTTCTTAACACAAATGGAAATAGCTTTGTTACAGGGGATAAAACAATAAGTGTATTACACTGGACGAAAAAGTAGCCATTATTTAATTAGAAAGTGAATTGAATTAATAATTCATTGTGATCAAAACAATCAGTCTCATTGAATCAACTAATCATCACGTATTGATACAATCACATAAAGTTATTATTCTAATTATATATGGAAATTATTATGATCAAAGAATATGATTGATTTGAGGACATTTAAAATTTAATTCAATTACTTTGAAGATTAAAACTCTAACCCCTCCTGTGGTTTGTTTGGGTAGCGGGTAGATTTTAGAAAGTCGGAGACAGAGTTCTTAGGAAATAAAACTTTATTCTAACAATTTATATACAGATAACAGTATTTACAATATGTACATGAAAAGGTTCTGGGTAAATTTTAATTCGTAGTGTCTTCAAATGTTGTTCCCAAAGTATATTTCGTGTGTCGGTTCGGCGTGGCTTAGTGGTCCAGGATGGTGTGGCGAAGATGAGATAAGAGCTTAGGTAACCTTTACGGTGATGGAAATCCCTCGAAGTCAGTACCTTTGTGGGAAAGATTCACGGGGAAGGAAAACCATAAAGTCAATACCTTTGCAGGTAATGTTTGACACGTCGGGAACCCTAGAGAGTCAATACCTCTGCAGGAGCAGGAGAGGAGAGTCTTGCTAAGTCAATACCTTAGTTCGACTCCAAAAATTAAATTCGGAGGTCTTTATATACTTGTCTCTGCTTGGCAAAAACGGCTGCATGTTGAACCATAGGGGTTCCTAGAAAGGTGTTACTGGGGAACATCGTTATAAAACAATGCAACAAAACACTAATAATAATATCTGCAGACATGCTACTGATCATTGTTGGAGATCAATCCGATCATTCTGTTGATTAAGTTGATCAGTGTAAAATGATAAAATTATTTACTGCAGACCACTAAATGAACATCATTGGAGATCAATCCAATTATTTTATTGATTAATTTAATCAGAATAAAATCATAAAATTAATCTCCGTTGGCCACTAACTGATCAATCTATTATTGTAAGTTATTCAGAATTAAATAAATCTCTACGAACAATTAACTGATAAGCACTACAGACTATCTGTATCTGTAACGTGTGGAGGGTAGGTTACCCCCACGGCACTTAGGCCTCATTAGGCCCATTGTGCATCCTCCTAAGATGATAGGCACCTCCTAGGCTTAGCTCGTCAGCCAGCCTACAGATTTAATGTAGTTGACAACGTCGCCAAGAGGTGCTTCTCTTATATCGGCCAGTGTTAGCCGATACTCGCCGAACACAAATCTTCTAATAAATGAGAGCGTCGGGCAATCGTAGAGGATATGCTCGATGGTCTCATCTTCTTGTTCGCACCCTCTGCAGAGTGCGGATTCTGACAGCTCCATGATATGGAGATGCTTCCGTACTTGGCAATGACCAGTCAGAATGCCTGTGACCAGACGCAGATTCTGTCTAGTCATAGTTAAGTATTTGTTTGCTGCAGTGTTGTCAAGATAACTTAAGAGCTCCCTGGCAACTCTGCAGTTTCTTGTTTCATCCCATCTTTCCTTGAATTTCACAAGGGAATGTTCTTTAATTAGGTCTGTCACTACCGATTTTGTCACTACAGACTAATTCCTTATTCAATTGATTTGAAGAAGTAATATCACAATATCTTTGTATAACTGAACTAATAACTCATAACAATAATCATTAATAATGTTCGTTTTTTAGTAGATATACATTGACACCTATAACTGGACTTACCTTACTCAAAACATCTGTTTGGATCATGACCTAAGAATGTTCCCGTCTGTAGGCTATTTTTGCATTTTGGAAATTTTTGGATTATTCATGTAAAAAGCTAATTTGAAAAATTTACCACACCAGAATTGTAGTTTCTTTTAAAGAGTTTTGAACTATAAACAATTAAAAATCGAATTTTGTGGAAACAAAATATTAAAAAAAAAATTAATCACAGTATCTTTCGTGTTGGTATACCGGGTGTACCAATAAAAACTGGATATTTTGGTAAGTAATAGAAATATTTTAATTCTGTAAAAGCCAGTTCACAGAGCACTAAGAGAGCTTCAGTTTTAGATATAAATTGATTTTAAATAAATCAATATGTAGATGGCGCTGCGTTCAATTTTTTTTTTTTCAATGGGAGTATCTTTGTTGTGTAGCGCATCTTGTAAAAAATGCATTTCTAAACAGATTTTGATCTATGAACTAATTCGATAAATCTAGCCATTTTTGATATACAGAGTGGGTTACTCAAAACAGTTTCATCCTGTTTTTCAGCATTAATCATTGGATTTTAAGAAACTGCTAAAACAGGTCGATTTTTATTCCATAAATAAAAACCTATTTACAATACAGACATCTGTCATATGTGTCAACCCCCTCCCTTGCAGTTCTCTAACACCTTAATTTTAAATAGGTACTGTACCATTGAAAAGGTAATTTAACGGGGCATTCAGAAATATTTCTGTATATTGCGTGCACTACGTATTATAGAGTGTGACACTACAATGTTTAGTACATCATTAAAAAGGTAATTTTATGGGGAATTTAGAATTATCACTGTTCATTGCGATAATTTAAACTGTACCACCCTTTATCGGGATAAAAAAACTGTACGTATTATAAAGTGCGACATTTTTTTGAAAGCAAATTTAATTACTAATTCAATGCACCACATAACATTAATATAAATATCCTCCATATTGCACTTGCAATAGTTTGAAAATTAGTCATGCATTATTTTAAACATTATTGCTAACTTTATTTTGTTGCAAGTGCAATATGGAAATATTTAAATTAATGTGGTGCATTAAATTAGTAATTAAATTAGCAGTTTTTTATCCGAAAAGTGATGGTAGTAAGTGGATACATGCTGGAGAGGCTAGCAGCGCGATTAGTGTGCATCCACATACTCCCAACAGTTCAACCGTGATATCTATGGTCACGTCGTGGATGGGTGACCATTGGGAGGTTCCAAAATGGGCCTTATTTCGGAATTTTACTCGAAAATTTTTTCTCCAGAAACATGTTTTCGAAAAACATTTGCTCGAAAAAATATTATTTCGAAAATATTTTTATCGAAAAAATATTTGCTCGAAAATATATTCGTACAAAAGAACATATGCCTTAAATATCATTTTATCAAAAATATATTTCCACGAATGAGCAATTGATCGATAGGAATCTATTAACAAAATTGAAATGGCACCAGGACGCACAGGTTATGTAAATTAATTAAAATTTTGTTTATTTCATTTCATGTTTAAGTTTAAGGTTAGGTTAATTAGCTTAGATTTTTTTTATTTTAATTAGAGTACTAGGAAGATATTTCTCATTTCAGATCATGTTCGTCTGTGCAGTATACGCGAGTGCGATAAACGTTTTTCATATTCGATTAATCGTTTGTTTGTTCGTTCGACAAAAAGATCCGGGGCGCAAATATTCTTTCGTGCAAATGTACTTTCGTCAAGATGTTTTTTCTAGCAAATATATTTTCGAGCCAATATTTTTTCGAGGAAATGTTTTTTCGAGTAAATAGAATTTCGAAGAAATGTTTTTTTCGAGTAAATAGTATTTCGAGCAACTGTTTTTCGAGAAAATGTTTTTCAAGCAATATTTCGTAATTCCCATGGGACTTGGCTAAAGCTTTCGACATCGTCAATCATTGTCATTAATTAAATTTCCTTGAAGATATGGATATAAGGGGTATAGTCAATAAATTAATGAAGTCGTACTTAACAAAGAGAAAACCAAAATACAGAATATCACCAGCATCGATCAAATAGTCTCATGTGGTGTACCTCAGGGAACAGTATTGTGGCTTCTACTATTTATAGTCCACCTAAACAATCTCTTTTTAGTTGAAAGTAAAGCAAATATTATTAGCTTTGCAGTTGACACAATCATGCATTACGGAGCTACTGACTGGAATAATTTGAAAAAATTGTTAGAGGAGGATTTCCCCAAAATTAAAACATGGTTTTTGACTACCGCTACTAACTATAAATTAAAAAAAAAAAAACAGTAAACCTACCTGTTTACAGTCTAGCCTCCGGTCTTCCTCAATTTCAAAATATTGCTATCGGGAACGACACATATACAGGATGTCCCAATAGTGTGTGAAAGTTCGATATATTCTGTATTATAGAAAATATCAAACAATGTTATTTACAAAAGTTGTAGATAATATTAATCTGCATATTAAGATTTTTTTTTGATTATACAGAGTGATCCATAACTTCAGAATTGATCAAACCTATGTTTTTTAAATGAAACACCTTGTATTTAATTGTAAATTTGAATTCCCCTGACTTTGCCCTTCAAGAAAATACCAACATGTATGAGGTTATACTGGGTACCGTCAAGTTGGGTGACTTGAGACTGCCTGGTGACTTGAGACAAAACTTTAGGTATTTATGAGAAGGGTTGGCAACACCGCAGATTGTACTGGAATTCATTTTCCACGCGGTATTCATTCACGACAAGTCTATGCAAGTTGTTTTTATAGTTTTTGCTGGTTAATTAAGAAGGTAAGTGCGGTTTTAGTATTTTATTGTAAGAATAGGGTTTGTGGGATTTATAGGTATGTTAAAAAACTTTATGTATGTAGTCCAAACTGACAAATTTATGGGAATGGTCATATTTTACATTGATGTTAGTGTATATGGGAAGTAATTATTGATATATACATTTTTGTTAACATAAACAGTTTTTTTGATTTATATAAGAAAATAAAAAATGGGATTTATAGGGGCGAGTTGAGACGTGTATCAAGTCACCCCAGGGGTAATTTGAGACATGTCTCAAGTCACCCTAATTAAATAATACGTGTTCATTTTGCAGGTATTTACAAGAATGGGTCGATACAAAAAAAAAGTAGGCGCCAACTATAGAAGATATGACGAAAAAGATTTAGAACTTGCAGTAGCTGAAAGAAATAGAGGTGTTTCATTGAGAAAACTTCAAAGGAAATATGGTATTTCAAAGGATACGATAGATCGAAGAGCAAAAGGACGTCATATGAAAAAGGCAGGTGGACAAACTGTTTTCACGTCAGAGGCAGAAAAGAAGATGGTGGATAACATTCAGTTAGCCAGTGTCTGGGGGTTTCCACTAACATCTATTGATGTAAGGTACTTGATTAAGTCGTATTTAGATAGTTCTGGTAGACAGGTATCAAAATTTAAAAAGAATTTGCCAGGAAGAAAATTTATGAGAAAGTTCATTGAAAGGCATAAGGATATACTCTCACAACGCTGGTGTGAAAATATAAAACGGGCACGGGCAAGTGTTAACAGGGAGGTAATAAATAAATATTTTGACGAGCTGGAAGTAAGTTTGCAAGGGGTTGAACCAAATGCAATGGTCAATTATGATGAGACAAATATAACTGACGATCCTGGAAAAACCAAGGTACTTGTCAGAAGAGGTGCAAAACACGCACATCGTATAATGGACAACTCTAGAAGCAGCCATTCCATCATGTTTGCAGGATCCGCATCGGGTGAACTTTTGCCACCTTACATAGTTTATAAGGCCGAAAATTTGTATAAAACTTGGACAGAAAATGGCCCTGCTGGTGCTAGATACAATAGGTCAAAGAGCTCCTGGTTTAATGAATCGATTTTCGAGGATTGGTTTAAATCTACGGCGTTACCGTATTTTAAAAAACTCCCCATTGAGTCGCCAAAAGCTGTAATAGGCGACAATCTTGCCAGCCATATTTCACAATCCGTAATTGACTTATGCAGAAAATATAATATTCGATTTATCCTGCTACCTCCAAACAGTACCCACATCTGCCAACCCTTAGACGTAGCATATTTCAGACCACTCAAAAGCGCATGGAGAGATGTTCTTTTAAATTGGAAATTGAAGCATCGGGGGGTAGTACCGAAAGATACTTTTCCCAGACTGCTAAAAAATTGTTTGGATCAACTTGATGTAGACAACAAGACATCAGCAAATCTCATAGCTGGATTCCGTGGAAGTGGAATTTATCCAATCAACAGAAACAAAGTACTAGATAAGTTGCCACCGAGCTTAGAACAGCCAAATGATGAAAACAATTTTGTAGTGTCAATAGATAATGCTTTTCAAGTCTTTTTAAGCAATCTATATACGAAGGAAACAGTAACCGGTACGAGGAAAAGAAAAAAAATTCTAATCGAGCCTGGAAAGAGTGTTGAAAATACTACTCTAGAGAGTGTTGAAAATACTACTCTAGAAGAAGTAGAACAGACGGTAAATGAAAATGGAGTCCATGGAAACCAGGAAGAAATTGAAGAAGAGCTACCTGATTTTACTCAATTTAATAACCCGACACCGTCAACATCAAAAGCAAAACCTATTATTTCTCGAAAAAATAAAAAAAGCGTAGATTCCTCCAGTGACAGTAATGATTCCTTTTCCACGCAATCGTCATATGATAGCCCTGAAGATTTTGAAGAAGACGTGGATATGGTTGATCCTTCGGATATAAAAGTTGATGACTTTATTTTGGTGCAATTTTCATATGAGGCTCCCCATAAGCCAGCTATTTTGAAGAAATTCATTGGACAAATTATTGAACTAAAGCCGGATTTAGTTTTGTGTAAATTTATGCGCAAATCACCACAAGGAAAAAATATTTACGTATTTCCAGATATTGAGGACGTCACAGATATTAATAAAAATCAAATTCTGTCAAAGCTGGTTCCTGTGTTTGTTCGACGAGGAAGATTTACTTTTTCTATTGAACTTTAAAAACCTGGCACAATTGTTTAAAACATTTTTTTTTTTTCGTTAAAATGAGTTTTTTATTTGTTTTTTAAGAGTTATGTTTTATTTAGATTAGTTTCTACCAAAGTTTTTCAAGTTCCTACTTATTTTTTAAGAATTAAAACTTTAGTTTTGTATTAAAAATGTAAAATGTTTAAAATAATTATATTTTTCCAAATAAGAGTTGTGTTTATGAAATAATATGTTCTATTACGTTTTTAAAGACTATTAATGTCTCAAGTCCGCAAATTGACGGTCCGTCTTGAGTTTATAATGAAAACAAATTACTGTCTCAAGTCACCGCCCCTGTGAAGCTGACTTGAGACACCCAAAAAAACAAAAAAAAAATATTTTCTGATAAATTTTAGGTCATTTTTATTATTGAATTTTGAAGAATGTATGTAGACTCAAAAATGTGTCCTTGTTTCATAATTTTAATTTGCTGGAATACAATTTTACAGTCCTTTGAATTTTGAAACTGTCTCAAGTCACCCAACTTGACGGTATTTTCCAAGGTTAAAAATCAATTTTATATAAAAGGTTCAACCCTCTGTATATTTCAAAAGAAACAATCGAACATCAAATTTTTTTAATGAATCATTTTTAATGATAGACGTAGCTACAGACGGATTAGGGCAATAGTACGGGTTCAGACTAAAAAATAAACTAAGCTGCTACATATTCATTCTTTTTAATATTCGTCTTGTCAAAACTTATTACAGTAATTACAATAATTTACAGTTACAGAATAAAAGCTATAACAAGCTTGCTTACAGGATATTTGTAGTAAAATCTTTTAAAAATATATGTTAGAAAACAGGAATAAGAGTCAACCAAAAATCGCATAGCTCTCGAAGATATTAAAAGGATGTAACTCGGTTGTGGAAAAAATCGATTCATTCTTTGTTGCATAACAATATCCAAATATACCAAATTATTATATTAAGAATGATACAATTAATTAAATTCTCAATTTACTACAGTGTTCCATTAATTTTGAGGTCAACCATATTATTAAACTTATCGACTCAAGTAATTTTAACGACCACCTGATACTCCAAAAAACCTTTCTAATGGCCTTTTTATCTTTCGCAGGAGAAGAATTCCAATTCTACTCAAGTTTTATTGAAAGACATTGACTTTAAGATATCTGGCAACTTTAGCTGTGAAGTCACAACCGATGCCCCATTTTCTACTGGATACGACAGGAGAACGATGGTCGTAGTCCGTAAGTATCGACCGTTAAATTCTATAAGTAGATTTAGATTTTTAGATTATAAGAAATAAAAACTAAAACGATAGAACTTGGTTGATGTTAGTAATGCAAGATATTTGCTACGACCTCTGGAGAGTACTTATAAGTATTATTAGACAAAGCACCGTTGTTTTTAACGTGGTTTTGTTGCAATTAAATAGTCGTTGATGATACAAGGGTGAAAAGATAAGTTTTTTAGTAGACTATCAGAAGTGGCATGATCACAATATTCACATTTTAGGCTTTCGGATGGAATAAACTTTAAAAATATAACACTGAAAACTATTTATATTCAATTATTTACTGAGAAAAAGTGGATAAAATTTGCATTATATTTTGATGTTTTTAACCTACAATTTTGTAATTTTTCTACAACGTTTCAAGAGTGTAAGTTAGTAGCAAAACCAATTAATTAAATATTATAAAAAATTATACAGAGAAACTTTTTAATAGCGACACCTAAAAATGTCATCACAAATTGGCTGTTAAAGGACCGCTTCTGGGGGAAATAATTAAAATGATTTATCTACAATGTGTGATTGATCTCATAATATAATCGAGAATTTACTTTTATGTACTTATAATGTAATTGCATATAAAAAAGAGAAATATTATTATTTTTTTATAAATAAGACAAAGATGCCTCTATAATAAAAATAAATTCTTAATTATTATATTTACATCACCCAGATGTTTTTTGGTTTGAACCTTATTATCCAGTAAGAATTTTAGTTATACAGAGATAATTTCACATACATAATATGCTAAAATTATGCAATACTATATAACGAAAAGAAATATTACATTTTGTCTTCTTCACTTTCATAGTTTACGGTGTCGGCAGGGTTAGTTTTTCATAGAATTCCTGAATTATTTCCTCCATATTAATACTGAGATTTTCTTTTGAAATGTCTGAGTCGATTGAAATTTAGTTTTCTAGATCTGGATTTTTTAGAATACTGGAAAATCTTTGACTTAGTGGAACATTGTTTTCTTCTTCAAAAGTCCCGTTATCTTAAATAGATTCCATAAATTCAGCTTTTTGGAAACAATTTTTAATACTTGGGGATGAAACGATAACGGTGTCCATGGGCTAGCAACAAATTTATGCATTTTTCTTTTTTTTTCAAACGCATCTTCGGTGTTTGTAAAAGTTAACAATTTCCCTATCCAAAACTTTCTATATTTTACTTTAACATATTGTATTATCCCTTGATCCAAAGGTTGTTAGTGAGATGTAGTGTTTGGAGGCAAAAAAACAATTCGAACATTTTCTAGCTGTATTTTCGGCTCATATATTCTAAGGCATTTGTTATAACAAATCTAAAGGTTCTACTTACATACAGAAATGTTTTTTAAACATGGATCTTGTATTTTAAAAATCTTCCTTTATAAGAAAAGAACATCTACTAAATAGCAACCAAATATATTTTTTTAGATGTTAAACATTTTAAGCTAGAACGTATCCCAAATTGAGATATTTTGTTGTGTATTTAATTATACTATATAAAAATGTCGCTAGATGTTTTCTACCCTTTTCAGCCGCCTCTCCTGTCATTATTTTCGTTAATTCCTTATCAACCCTTCTTCTAAACCGTAATCCTTCTCTCTTTAACCTCTTTGAAAATTAATTATACCACTTTTGAATGTACGGGTAGACTTAAGCCTGTTATAAAACTGCTTTAAGAATAAAAGAGATAAAGGTTTTCAGTAGTATTTTTAACACAATTTAAAAGATTGTAAATTCCACAAGAGGATATATAAAGAATATTGTGAAACCACTTTTAAAGCTTTCTTAAGTATATCGAATATCCAAGATACCTAAAGAGTTATCAAAAATTATATTGTTACCAAAAAATATTTCTAAAGAAAATATATTTTTGGAAAATACGCTTACAATATACCAATAGGGATATTAAGAAAGGGCCAGGAAATACTGGATAAACTGATAAACTTTTTCGAGCTAGTATTACGGGTCAGAAATGTATCGTACCAATTTGAACTCAAATAATTATTTATTATTATTAGTTAATAATAAGGGTTAGTAAACATTAAATAAATAAATAAAAAACTCACCTAAATTAGTAAATAGAATTCAACAAGATTAATAGTTATTAAAATCTAACCTATACATATGTAAATTGTCAAAAGTTTATAAATAAAGCACCTGAAAAAAATGTATCTTTATATAAAAGTCGCTACGATTGCTACCCCTTTTATTCTCTTGACTGAAAGGGGTGATAGTTAATATAGACTAGCTCAGTTTTCTTATTTCCGGAGATTGGGTCGTGGAAATAAATATCAGGTAAAATTATTTAACAATATTTTCTGTAACGTTTACTTGAATGACTTGTTTTACTTTAGTTACAGGAACAATCTAAAATTAACTGATTTAAGAGTCGATAAACATTCAACAATAGTCACAATAATACCAACAAAATGGTTTACTATTACAAGGGCCTTTACACGCTTAGGGCAAGAGTAAAGATTCGATTCCAAGTAGTACTACTCGTTTACATATAAGGGGTGAGTTACTTAAAATTATATCACTAATTTTTATGTCGTATACACGATTTAAGTCAAATTTACACAGGTATCTTATAACTTGTTTATATACTAATACTTTTAGGATGATTATGTGATTTTCTGGAAGATGCAGCTAATAATATAAATGGGTGGATCTTACATGGTGGTTTTCTCCTATCTCCAAAGTGATGCGATGGGAAAATCCTTCGTTTGCAACCCTCGCTGTATCAAGAGCTACTAGCAGCCCAAATGGATTCAAGTCCTATGAAAATAGCCAAGCAGGTAGGTGCAAGCAGTACTAGGTGAAAGCAATAGAAGCCAAAGCAAATAGTTTTCAAATTATAAAGGAAAATAGTAGCAGTAAAAGAAAAAGAAAAGGACCTAAAAGCAAAAATATAACAAGCTATAGCTACATGCAAAAGGTTATATCTGGATGACTTACCGAATAAGGTAGGGTCCTATTTTATATCTAGTATCGACAAATCCACAAACTGTGTACTAAAATCAACACTTGATTTATCTGGTTCAATACTTATACGATATAATTCGATTATTTAATGTAACTTATCTATTTTAAGTGGTTTAAAATCCGAAATTATTCGTAACAATTTTCAAAGACCACATGGCCCATAAACCAACCTCAAAAAGAAAGAGAAGGAACCAAGAGAGACAGATAAAACCTCAGGACCTAAGAAGACAAATGTCCTTGATTTGGGATGGCTAAACTGCCAATTTTAATCCCAATTAACCTAATTACCCAAATTATACAAAATAAAATCAAATAAAGGATAGAAGAAGAAGAAGAAGAACTACCTCAAGGTCATGGTCAAGAGTTACTTTTAATTAATGGAAATGAAGACAATTAATTTTGTGTATTATTATTTACGAATTTAGGTGAGTTTCTATTTATTACTCGAAAATAGTGGTAAAGTAGGTATGATTTTAATATTTTGTTTAAAAAGACTATTCACTATTATGAAATTAAAATTGACCCGTAACACGATTTTTGGTTTGGCGGGCGCATGTAGGCGAGAAGAATTAACAAAGATGTCTTTAGATCATATTGATGACAAAGGAAAAAGTGGATTTATGAATATCCCAGACAACAAAAACCACTCTTTTAGAAGCTTTGCGATTTCTAAGGAAGCTGAAAATGGAAAATTAAGAAAGCCTGAAACTCCACATAAGCGATTTTTCGTGAAATATAAGAAAGGAACTTGCACTGTACAATGTATCGGAATAAACACCTTCGAAAAAATTCCATCAGAGATTGCAAGTTATCTGAAGCTTCCGAATCCTGAATTATATAAGGGCCACAGTTTTCGACGTTCCCCGCCACAATGCTTGCAGATTCCGGAGAAGGAATAACAAATATTAAACGTCTCGGAGGTTGGAAATCTTCTAACGTCGCAGAAGGTTATGTAGAAAGCTCACCAAGTTTCCAAAAGGTCCTATCGAATAAAATATTAAACTTCAATGACGCTGTCGCTGGCCCTTTCACTAGTCAGCAGCTGTCACCAGTAAAGCTTTCCAAAATGACCTCTTCTAGCCAAGTTCCCATCGCCACAGTTGCAAAAATAAGTGCTGACAAAGCAGTGAAAAACCGAAATTTGACTTCATTGGAAAACATTTTAGCCTCTGCAATTGAGCTGCACGTTCAATATTAATATTAAGAATAATTAATTTGTTGATATGTATTTAATAATAAATGTTTCTTCACGTTAACTTTTGGGTTTTTTTCGAACGTTTGTAGAAAAAATAGTGTACCTAACACGTGCGTAAAGTGACTTTTAAACTACTATAATATTACTAGTTAAAAAATATTAATTTGAAAATATACAATAAATGATTTGATAACTTTAAAATAACGTGAAAATTTGTTCTCACAGTGTATTATTAAGCATTATTAAGTTGTTACCTTACAGTTAACGTCATTTTTTTCAACGTTTCTTTGTTCTAAAAATGATTGTGTGAAAGCTCCTATAATTTAATAAAAATTGTTTCATATTACCATTTTTAGCCGCACTTTAAGCCCCGCATTCGACGATACGCTGCTGCCTAGCTTTTACTACTTCGGTTATGCTATTGTTAATAATCCAACCCGCTAAACCCCACGTCCACATATTATGCTATAGAATTCTCAGAATAAACTGATATAATTACATAGGTAAACATAAATAAGTGGTTCTCGAATAAACACAGAGCATCAGCAAATTGCCAGAAATGCGGAAACTTCCATGATGGAGCTCGGCGTCTTGTAGCGTCAAAGAAAATAACTGGCGAAGCTGGAACTTCGTGGAGAGCTCCGAGCTCTAGAAAGCCGGTTCGGATTTAATGGGCAGCATTCATGTTGCTCCATATGCTTCGAAAAATGTTTTGGTTTGCTTTATAGTTGTAACGTTTGTTTGTGTAAATATTTAAGCGAGCTTGTAAAGAAAAGTTGATTT